GGACATTTACCACAGTGTGTCTGAGTTTGTGATTGCATCTTTTTATAGCCATCTTTGAAGTGGGTTTCTTTCTTCTTTTGATGTAAAAATAAAATTATTTGGCTCCACCCGCCATACTTGCCAAATTATACAGAATGCAGTCGTTTACATTTCAGTTACACGTCACAGTTCAATTTTCCTCTCCCAGCCCCTGTCGGAGCTTTATGTCACTCTACTTCGCCCCTTACCCCTCACCCCCCAAACCAAGAAAACTTCTGGGTTCTCCGCCACTGCGTGTTACAGCGAAGACACTCGAACCAGGAACACTACACATTTGTTTTTTTTTTCTTTTTTGATTACCCAGCGAGAGGTCTTCGTATCAGCAAAGGAATTACAATCTTTCACATTAACGACGCTAATCCTTTGTGTTTTTATGAAGATTTCTCATTGCCTTTTCACCAAAAAATAAACAACAAAATGTCAAGTGTTTATGGTTCGAATGTCCTCACTATGTGCGTAAAGTGAACTTGATAATCCCAAATATTTCGAAAACAATGACAATGATGATGACTGCCACACAAGTGGCATCATTTTGATTAAGGGTAGAGCACCTTTAGCTGAGTTACAGAAAATTACGTGTTCTCAAGTTTTTAAGCTTTAAGCTTTAAAATTTATATAGTCTCTACTAACGAAGCACTTAGTTCCTCCCCAACTCCTCAAGGAACAAAACTATTGCTGGAGGAGCAAAATATGAGGAAGTATCTATTTTGAATGTAGATTGAATTTCATCTCGGTCACAAGACCAACGAACCGCATTGAGATTGAAAAGATAAAAAGAGTTCACAAGGTCAGTTATTCTCATGTATTCTGATCGAACTGATATGGCAGCGAGTTCTGTTTCCACAAAGCTCTCGGCCTTTGTTGTTCCAGTTCTTCAATGTATCTGTAATTCTCTCATCGGGGAATCGCTACTACAAAGGTGTGGTGTAATAGTCATGAATAGTCTACTTACAATAGGTTGTTGAGTTAGTTAGGAGCAGATAGAAAGCGGCAAGAGATAAATAAGATTAACTTAACTCCTGGAACAGGTTATGATGTAATAGCTTGTATATAAGTTATAAAACCTCACTGGGCCGAAAAGTGTTGATATCATTATCTCTGTGCCGGCCAGGTAGGAGAAATTCTATCCCTAAACTGAGAAATAACTAGCGAGCGAATCTTACGCTCTACCAGGACTGATTTTGTAGAGTTCGTACGCGGAAGTGCCTGCCAAATAAATTGTAGTAGCTACTACCCTCCATGCTGATTTTAAATTTATGCAGAGACGATGCCGCAAAATGGAAAACAATTTAGACATTAGCTCTTCTGATCTCTAGGGAAGCTCTGCCCGGCCTTAGGAATGTAGACTGTCTTGAATTTTATTGATCATGATGTGCGAGGTCATATGCATATATGCACAAGGTAAGGAGGTTCTTAACTTCCGTTTCATTTGTCTGTCTGTAGTCCGAAGAATACAAATTATCAGTCCTACGTAATCGCACCGATGCAGTTATTGCCATGGTAACTCTAAATGTGATCTCTCGCCAAAAATAACACATGATAAATGTTGCTGATTTGATTTTTGATATTATATTTATGACATATAATGGTGGATACACGGAAATTTCAACCAAAAGTATTCAAATTTCCTTATTGACATTAAAAAAAATGTATTCAAGAACATGGCCTAAGATGGGAATCTGATCGATTCTCAGTCACAGCACCTACAACTTTTAAGCAGTTTGACAGTAATTCTTGGTTAGATTTTAAATGTTGAGAGTTTTAATTGGGATTTTTAATAATGAAGTAGTGAAGTATCAAATACCGCTCTCGTCTCAAGTAAGCTTCGCTCAATCAGTATTTAAAAGGTACCGCGAGCATTGCATTTGACGGACTATATAAGTTGACACTTGACTCTCACGCGAAACCACTCATGAATTACGAGGTCAATCTCAGTCCATCATGCAAAACACTACATCCCGTTTCGTGTACTGACAACTGATATTCGCTTGGTTCTAGTTTAACTCTCAGTCGGCTAAATCATATTCTGTTTTGTTGCTGTTTCATCCTTTCATCCGTTCCTTAGTTTGATCGCTCGTTCGTTCTTTAGTTTTTTTCCACTTTCGTTCCTCCTTCTCGTTGGTCAATTCAATTTTTTGTTCGTTTATTTTTCTTCTTTCGTTCACTAGTTCGTATCTTTGTTCAAAAGACAACGCACGTGATACGGAAGTAGAAAAATTGCTCTGTCATTGTTACATTTTAAAACTGGAGTGTATCTCCGGCTCCCAGACACCTGTTACACTTAAGCCTTTTCACAATTCAGACGAAACAAACTCTCCAGCATGACTACACCGACAATTCTTCTTCAAACTTATTGTTTCCGACAGAACGAAACGCGACGTTTCTAAGGATACAAAGCAAACCTCGTACAATGCTGTGTTTCGATTAATTTAAAGAGTGACGCGCGCCGTTAAAATATTCACCTGTCACGGCATTGTTTTATAGCTCACGGTAGTAAACAAGTTTTGTCATAATAGTTTTAGTACGTGCAAGACGCGGATCAAGCCTGACTGTGGCAGTACGCGATCGAAACAAGCAGAACTAATCAAAAAAATTATTCTAGTGCGTCTTATCTCAGCTGAGAAATTCTCCACGCTTTCCCGGTACTGTTGATGCGGCTATGAAAATATAGAAGTCCTTATCATGTTCTTTAAACTGCAAGGCGAGTTGAGAGCAATCTGGGGACGAGCGGAAAAGGTTGGCAGGTAAGGTTGAAGTTTGAGTTGTCGAGAGCTTGTCTTAACTGACGAAGTCAAGTGCGAATCCAGTTTTATTCCCTGGAACGTTTCGTTGACGGGAGCTGGGAGACGTCGTGTTTAGCCTAACAAATGGGAACCAAGTTCTCGGCTGTTTTGCAGGCTAACGTATATTTTGGTTTCGTTTGTGATCTTCGAAATCCGAGTGATTTGCGTGAAAATTCCCATATCAATTACACCAAAAACTAACCTATTAAATAAGACTTGAAAATTAAGGGGGCGTTGCTATTTAAAAGAGCTGAAGCTAACAGGTTGCGATGTCTCCTGCGCCAAACCCTTCTTTGTATATTAGATATATATGTTAAGAAGCGCACAATATAGAAGTTATGAAAGAAAAGAAATTTCCATCGATTTTGTTATTCCACAGTTAAATTTTATCGAATTTTTTTTCTTCTGCGCTACAGATTTCGAGCAAAAGGTTTGATCCGATTTTCAGATTTCGGCTTGCGGACCTTGCGGAAATAACAATCGAACTAAAAGGAAATAAGTGTCAGTTTTTAAATAATGCGATATTTAATTTCATAAGAAAAAAAAATTTTACCAGAACATTTCGACCATAAAAGGTTACGTTACAAGCAAATCCCTCATCATGTCGACTCGGCACGGTGTTTTCTGATCGTGTGTGATTGACACAGAACTAGAACAACTAATAAATATGCACATAAATTAAAGTAGTTGCTAAAATATTGACACGGCTTTCCACTAGGATTAACAAATCATAACGTCCTATAACGACAATATAATTAGCTTAGAATCAGTGAATCGTGGCTTAAGAGCACGTTTACGAAAAGCGTTGTTACGGGTCCAGAAGACAGATTTGAAGACATTTTTGACACGCGGTATTCACATAAACCGTTTCTGCGCACGACAATGGCATAATTTATGAGCGGGTCGCATTACCACTGGGTTAAACCCGGTGGGACTTGAATTTCAAAATATTATTATTCGCGGCGATTATCTGAACACCGCACTCAAGTTTAGGATATGACAGTATAAAAGTGCTCGAAAAGACAAGATAACAATGTCCTCTGGAAATCGTGGAATTCTGCAAGTATTTCGCCGGGCGGCGAAAAAGGCTAAGAATTTCCGACTCTTTACCAAAAGGTGAGTGCGTTTTCCTGAAATGTACGTGTTAATGAATATCAAGTAGATTTGCGCGAAGCTCGTGATCGTTGTCCACTGTAAACTCGTCGTAGCACAACTCTTTTGGTTTCCTTGTGCTCCAGGCACACCAGCCTGCAATCAGAACATTCCTGTGTAAGATATTTCTTTGCCACACTGGCGATCGGACGCCTAAACATACACAATTTGGGGTCTTTCTCGTCAGCGATCGAGGTGTATACGGACAATAGGGAAACGGCTGGATTTTGACTCTTGTTTAGCAAAACAAAGCTCAAGATTAAACGTTGCTTGTACAAAGCTAGGTTGAAAAATTTCCTTTTATAGTCAAAAGATCAATTATTATTGTATTACTAGAGAGAATTATTTTTTTTGTCATCGAGAAGTGGTTCATTTCCTTAGCAGGTTTCAAGACCTTGCTTGTTCAATAATACAGCTTAATTTCTTTTGTTTCGGCTTGTTTATATCTGGCAAAAACTTTAGGGATCGAAGCGATATATCTGATTTCGCATAACAGGCGTAACCAACTTGCAAACCCGAAGGCGAAGTTCATAATATCAGTATCTGCTGTTCGGTAATTTACGATCGGGCAAATTCGATGATTTAGAGGGTCAAAGAACTGTGCAATTGAGCATCGTTAAGGTCGGCAACTATTTTATAACACGACATGCGGTATAGTTTTGAAAAGGCTGCTTTGTATATCTAAACCGCGTACGGAATGAAATTTTTATTGAAACTTCGATCAAATTATAAAAGTTCACGCGCTCTGGTCACGCGCGCCTCACTCTTGGCGGAAATGAACAAGAAAAAACTTGAAATCGCGAAGCAAACTGAATTTAACAGGCTTCAAAATTGCTAGGTAATTTTCTCGTATGTTCTCTTTGATATTCCAAGCAGAAATGAAGGCATTTTATTTGACATAAAACATCTTCTGCTTGATGTACAATGTCGTCAAAAGCGACAGTACATCAATACATTGGCACGTTCTGTTTACCTTTGTCAGTAATGTTTTTTCGTTTCTCTAGTTATTGTTTACTCTACTGACAATAGATTGCTTCCTGACATAATTAAAACTTTTCCGGTCTCTACTATTTTGGTTAACTAGCAGAATTACATCACAACAACATTGATTATAATAATTTAATGGTCTATGGGAATTTGTCACGCAAGAAAAATATTAGAACTTGTTACAACCTCGCAACTTACGCAACGGGCGAACTCACTGTACAAACAATTGTTCCTTTGCAATAAAACATTAATGTCCTTGAGGTAAATCGAATGTTTTTGTTTACTTTCAGTCTGTGACATATGTCAACTGTAAAGATCTAATAGACTTAAGTTTAAAACCCCTCTGCCATGCTAAGCTCTAAACTAAGATTAAGGAAGTCTACTGTACTAAAATAAGTACATTGAAAGAAAAATGCTGAAAACTTTTGTACTAAATACATACATTCCATCTTCAGTTTTCTGCAACGAATATTAGTAAAATTGACACTGGAGTGGGTGAAAAGCTGACTTTAATTGTCCTAAGGGATGGAGTTTACTTAAATTATCCCTGTAAATTAAAGGCGTACCATTTTCTATAAAAGTAACCTTCTGAAGGAATGTGAAAGAGGTGTCGTTACCTTTTTCAACACATTGCTGCCTTTTCCGCCAAAACAATGATTTTATACAATCGTAACGGTTTGGTCATTAGGGAGGAGCCCCCCTGTATAAGCCGTTGTTAATTGGATACCCTCCCACCAGCTTCTTACATGACCTCTCCACGTGCGCGCCCCTCCTCGTAAGGAGGGACTGGTACCCAAACTATTCTGGTTAAGATGTAATGCCAAGGTCACCGGAGCGCTTATAATAAGCCTGTTCAATTGTTTTCATTCTTATCATAGCTTTATGTCTATTTCGTGTTCTCTTGAATGTGCATCAGTGTCGAGCGATCACACACGTTTACGCGAGATTCTGTCAGCTTTCGTGCAGGTTGTACCTGTGAGTACATTCCTCCCGGCATGCCTTGTATATTGCCCAGTATATTGTTCGCCAATTTTGAATCACTACCGGTTCGGAAGGGCGCGTAGAGAGAATAGTGGAATTCAAACAATTTCGTTTTTCCGGCAAACGAACATAACAGCCGCGGTTTTTAAATTGAGACGATTAGTTTTCCGTTCAATGGCGACACAAAGCTTCAGAATGAGAGAAGAAGGAAGTTGGTTAATGGAATAACACTGAATAACAACTTCCGAGGGTTTGTTGTTAGGGAAATAAAGCAAAAATATCGTGTTGTTTGCGTGTAAGAAATAGCCAGAATTTCTTAACGTTTTAAATCAATTTTGAAGAAAACAAGCCCCGCAACTTTAGCAAAAAAAAAAAAAAAAACAGTGTTGACTATTAAATGTTCCCATAGTTAACTTTGTTCTTCTGTAATATGAAATAGTAATTCGGGTATTGATTGTTTTGAATGATTCTAATTGAATCTGATGGACATATTTGCAATACACGTTCTCCATTGCGAGAGAACAAGATCTTATCAAATCGTGATGATATTGAATTGCGTTACTTTTTCACGTAGACTGTAGACATTACCAGAAGCTTCAATGAGATCATTTCAACTACCCTCCCAGGCAATTTTGTCACGTGCAAATCTGTTTGACATACCGCAGATGAATTAAGTCAAGGAAAAATAACGGAGAACGAACTTGTGGATCGTAGCTGAGAAATCATTTGTATGGATTCATAAACAATGAGAAGACGGCACCTTCTTTTTGTTTTTTTGCGGTTAAAATTGTTCATTTCCCGTCGACTGAAGTTCTCGCGTGGGCATTGTTATGACAAGGAATATGACAAGGTTATGTCACGCTGACTTCCGGTGGGCGAGTTCAGTCAAGCGTGCTTTTCGCCGGTTCTCCGTCATCTTCTTGTCGCAGGCAACTCGCCTTCACAAATGGAGGGAAAGGCATGATGTGGCACCTCGATTTACTCTCTGAGACTTTCCAAGATTTATTGCTCTGGTAAGGTCTTGTAAACAACGCTAACAGTGTCTGAAAACGCCGCGAAAACAAGAAATTTAGCTGAAACGAGGCTTGCAAACAATGAGCATGCGCAGAAGCGGCTGTAGCGGCCAAATCTTTTATTTTCGTAAGCTGGAAATGACCCAAGCAAAACTGCTGTCGGGATTTTGATCGGTGATTTAGATGCACTTTGCAGTCGTAGCCTTTGGCGATGTGATATACTCGGTCCAATATGTCTTTAGTGACTGTGTTGAGGTCTCCGTCGACATCGGAATGTACGAGCTTAGGCACGGAATCGGTAAACTGCAGTTTTTGCACACACCTTCGTCGATGTTGACAATCTTGTATCTTTTGTCATGATCATGTTTTATGGTCGTGAGGTTTTCTGCACAATTCTGCCTTGTGCCGACCTTTTATTTGATTGATACACTTTTAGGACGTTGACGAAGATCAGGAAGATAGTTCGCTGAATCGATCTAGAGCGTAAGTTGTTTTATTTGGTTTTCTTAACTGTGAATCACAACACGTCAAGTTCGTATTGATCTGTGAGAGACATACAGCTGTATCTTGTTTCGCTGATAGTTCGGCTCTGTTATGAGGAAATTGCTTTCTTTGTCGACTTTTAAGCGTGTTCAGGCCTGTCTTTCTTTGGTTACATGCCAAGCATCGAGGCAATCTGGTTTAATTAAAATCACAGGCAAGGTTTCGCTCTAAAAATATGTTTCGTCGGTGAAGAGTGATTGATAAAAACCAAATCTAGATGTGACTTAACTTATCTAGGCCAGTTGCATAATTTTTCCTTCTTGTTTTGTCTCGTTCACCCTTCGA